TTCCGATCTCTTCCAGTGGATCTTTAATTTTTGACCTGGACCGGTATTGAAGTTGAAAACCCGGGTATTGGATCCAATACCGGCAGGTCCTTTTATCAACACCAAATAATGCTCCACCATCCCCACAGCACAAGTAAAACAAGCACGCAGCACAAAAGGTAGACAACCAATACCCAAGAATGTTCCCCCAATCTCCCCACTAAATAAGTAAAGGAAGTGAAGAACACAAAAAAGGTAGGTACATAGGGGGGCACCATATAAATATACATATAATATATGTAATCTAATATAGTATAATAAAATACAATATGGTATAATATAACATAATAAAATATAATATGACATAATATACTAAACTATACTATACTATACTATACTATACCATACCATACTATACTATACTATACTATACTATACTATACTATACTATACCATAATGTAATATAATATAATATAATATAACATAATATAATATAATATAATATAATACAATATAATATAATATAATACAGTACAATAATAAATAATTATATACATGAATAAATAAATATATATATATATACATATTATTATTATATATGTATCTATACATATACATATACATATACATATACATATACATATACATATACATATACATGTACATATACATATATACATATATGTATATATATTCATATATAATCTATATATATATATGCACACACACACATATATATGCATGTGTACATGTGTATGTCTGTAACGTGGTATAACATAGTACAGTATATTGCAGCACAATATAATATAAGAAAATGTATCATAGTATAATATGACATGAAGTAGTAACTAGTACAAAGTAGTGTAGTAGAATACAATATGTAATGTCAGATAATATGATATGTACTGTACGACAATGTAGAATGTAATATTATAGATATAAGATGTAGCATATGTAGTATAGTGCAATATATAATACCATTATATTCGAGTTAAATATTATGCCATGTATGTATGTATGTATGTATGTATGTATGTATGCATGTATGTTTAGGCGCGTCCACCAGACTCCAAGCCCGCAGAAGAAGAACGTATGTATGTATGTATGTATGTATGTATGTATGATTGTCATAGCCATGTTTCTGCAGGTTAGCTGCCACCCGCCGCTTGAGTGGAGAACGTACGCAGGCTACTGCATGGTGTGCGGTCTCTTTGGAACAAGCGTCACTGAATGATGTTCCTTGCATCGCGGCCCAAGGCTCGAAATGAGCTTGAGTTGACATAGAAGCTAAGATGTGGTATCGGGGTAAAAAAACGCCATCCGTGAGTTGCACGTGAAAAATGCTTTCTCCGTGTACAGCATGAGTTGGACTCGACGATGTGCATCGAGATTGATCGAGTGAGGGGAGCCGTGTCAATGCCGCGATGGCTGGTAAGTAGGCTGACACATGGCTTCGAGACGTGGGGTGCGACTCTGAGTCTGAAGTAGCACTTCAGTCGCTGTCGAGTGAGTGGTGCGTGGCAGGCCAGGCTAGCTGCTGCCAGTTTCAGTCAGCATGTTTTTGAGGCACAGTATGCTTCCAGCACAGACCTGCTTTCTGATGCGCTGTGCGTTTCGCGTGCAGGTTCCCAGGTGCGCGACATCCTGGCAGGGCTATAGTGCCGCCCTGAGACCAAGCTGTCGGCCTTGGCTTTGTCCGCAGCCCAACCCGGTCTGCTTATGGGTGTTTCGACATCCTGTAGAGGTGCGACACTACATTTCAGCCACGGATATCGCACTGGCCACAGTTGAAGCGTAGAGGAGGTACCTCCCTCCTTCATTTGATCACTTCATCCACTTCCAGCACAAGGCGACTCTCCCAGCGGTGAATTTCCAGCATCTCCGTGACAGTACACTGATGACGACGGCATCTCTGACTGTTCTATGGCATGCGATCTTCTGTCGGCGCACTCTTCTCCGTTCCGAAATGCAGATTTGGATCCGATATGGGTTGCTGTCATGTGAAAAGCACGGCCAATCCAGGATGCCAAAGATCTCCTTGGCCAACAAGCATCTGTCACACATATATGTATATATATATGTATGTATGTATGTATGTATGTATGTATGTACATATAGAGCTCTATCTCCCTCTCTCTCTCTCTGTGTTGCGGCCGCTTAATCGGAGCTCGAGGCCAGCTTAGACTCGCCAGCGGCAGGGCTGACAGTGCCGAAGCCTCAGAGTATCTCAGAGTGTCTTGTCAGACACGCTTAGGGGCATGTCTGCCCTACACCTAGGGCTCTGCCTTGAGCAAGGAAGCTGGACCGAGGCGGGCATCTTTCGTACAAGTTTGCAGTCGAAACAACTTATGGTGCTTGCTTGCACAGGAAAGTGGATGAAGAGCGTCCAGGCAACGACGTCTCAAAGAAACACAGCCCTCGCTGCTGTGGTGACTGCTGCAGTGCATGAAGTGAGCGACCGCATCTGCTCAAAAGTTGTTTCAGTCTTCTAGAGGCTCAAGCCGCTTATTGTGTGGTCCCTCAACGACATATGAGGCTTCTGACGGCGTGGGATGTGCTATGAATGCTTCGATGTTGATGTCACCAATCTGTTTGAACGTTTGGACGGTTGGCAGGGACAGTCAGAAGAAGAGGTATCATCACTTCTGCAGAAGATGAGCTCCTGTGGCAGCCTAAGCTGTACGCTTGAGTCTGGTCAGATGCTGTTCAATGTTGCCTCAGGCGTCGGGGCATTTCTGCGGAGCACTTTTGTCAAGGGACGGCCAGCGGAGGAGAAAACGGGTGGAAAGATAAGACAGGGCTTGCGTCGAAGTTGTTTCGTGCTTGGGCAGGCTCTGGCGCGGAAATACGAGATCGGGGAGGAGTTAGGTCGTGGGCTCACAGCGGCTCCGGTTCTCCGAATGCTCCCATCGTCAGCTGCTTGAATTTTATCAGTTCAGCAGAAACACCGCCCCTCAGGTGCGGGAGCAACTGCCACAGTCTACCGGGTTCTTGCCTCAGATTCGATGTTGTTGTTGATGCTGCTGCTGTGTTATACTCTATTTACGGTGTACAACATCTGATGTGTGCAGGCAATCCACCTATTGCATACATATGCATATACATGCACACGTACACACATACATACATAAACAATATATATATATATATAGGTAGATAGATAGATAGTGTGTGTATATATATATATATCTATACATACATATACATGTATATGCCCCCCCCCCCCAAAAAAAAAAGATCCGTTCTTTTAAGGACCTAAGACACAACTGCTGTCCTGAAAAAGCCAACCCTTCGCAAACCCAACACATATTGAAATGTCCAACCTTTTGAAGACCCAGACACAATTGCATTGAAGACCCTCAAAAGCAAGATGCAGCCAGTAAGTATTGCTTGCTTTTTGGGACAGCAAACCCTGTCTAGCCCCAGCTTTTTGTACAGCAAACCCTGTCTACCCATAATGTGATTACGTAGCGTAGTTAGCATAGCAAAACGTAAAAGTACATCAACTCAATATACATCTATTACATGTACTGGTCACAAACCGCAGGAGGAAATAACAGTCCCAAAGCAAATTACAACTATTCAGTATTATCTGAACCCGTCTTGTTCCAAATACTGTTGAACTGTAGGATTTGAAGGAAACCGATGGAGCTCTTGGAATGACCTAAGTCGGATGGTAGATCTCAACAACCTGGAAATAGAACTAATGCTGCGAGAAGATTCCTGTGATATCATCTTGCAACCAGAGAACAGTCGTATCCTGGCGTTGTTCAAGCGGAGTGCATATGTATTGAATTCAGGTCATGCACGACATCTGTTGGTAGTCTTCCATGCTGTAGCTAAACGCCCAAAGGAATGAAAGATAATGAAACGGAATGAAGGACGTGAAGTTTGCACTTTGTACCACAGCACCCCGAAAAGACCGATTAACACAGTACAATTTCTACTGTAGGCTTTTTCCATTCAGCTCTAGGTCTATTTTTCACTTCGGCCACTACTTGTTAAATCTAGGTTTTGGGGTCCCTATTTCGTTCCCTTTGTGCTAATCTGTAATGACGTGACAAAGCATGAAATAAGCACAACGGACACGATTTACAGTTCAGTTTGGACACTAGGTCATAATGGTAAATCCGAGTTGTTGCGTGTCTTTCACTTGGAATTACTTTTATCTTTGGTTCTTCTAGGGGGGAATGTGAGTGAACGGTTAGACCAAGATATGACTGCAGGACTGAAGATGGCAAACCGCTGCAAGTGTAGCATTCTGCAACACTGAACCTTGTGATCTACTTGTAAACACAGCATGTAGGCAGCCCAGACAGGAGAATAAAATAGCGCCAGAAAAAACCATAGCTTCAATTAGGATTAGGGTTGGATCCATCTTTGCATGCCAAACTGCGCTGCAGTTGCGAGTCGATTGAAAAGCAGATAGAAGCAGAGGCCAGGAACAAGCGCACTGGTCCTCGACTCAGTTTAGCTCCATGGCAGGGTGGTCCTTCTCTCGTGGTCGTACATTTTGCAAAGCCCAGCAGAAGGCTTGTCGGCGCTGCAATTTCATGCGAGGCCAATTCGTAGCACTGAAAGCAATGTGCAAGACCGCGGCTCAGTTTAGTTGTTGCAGTAACGAATCGCCTCACAGTCAGGGCACGCCTCTTGCCAGCTCGTGCGAGGGACAAGATCCAGGATGAGACCATGCTTCGCAACGAAATCAGCATTCACAAGGCTGAGCTGTCGTTTGAGGATTTGCAGGGCTCCACCCAATCGCGATGTTCTGCATAGACTGAACGGTGATGATACCCTTTTGGCTCGAACCGCCAAACTCCCCACGACGCATGCCAGGAGTGCTTCAAGCTGAAAGGGATTTAAAGAAGACGGAAAGGGATTTAAAGAAGACGAAGCGAGATTGCTCTCGCCACCCAACCTGGGCAGTCTTGACCATGTCTGGGACAAGTACTCGGGAAGTGTCTCAATGGAGTTACGAGATTGCAAACACCGCAAGCCAATCTTCTCCAATTCTGCCGTTGTCAAGCCGCCTGTGCTTGAGAAAGCCGCCAAGGAGAAGGAGAATATGCATCGAGCCGACAGACTGCCAGCCAGCTACTAGGCAGGCAGCCGGCAGGCAGGCAGGCAGGCAGGTCGGCCGGCAGGCAGGCGAGCACCTTGGTCGAAGACCAGCTTTGACTCGAAGAGGTGTGGCAAAAGGTCGACCGCGTATGCTTGTGCAATCCGGCGTCTTCGAAGCTGAAATGGAGAACGACCAGACTCGTGGCAGATCCTGAAGACTTGCAGTCATCCGTGTCTCAACGTGGGAACTGGACCAGGCTTGGTAATGCAAGTAGCTTTCAAGCTGTGAGACATGGTCAAAAGCGGGATAACGAGGACATGAAGCAGAGCAACGGTGAGCGTTGGTGGTGGTGTCACGAGCCCACAGGACTACTGTGCTGGGGAGGCCGTCTGTTTTTTGCCACGCTGGCACCCTACAAAGCGATCTACCCTCGGTGACACGACGGCACATCCCTATGCAGCTGCGGCCGCTCAACAGGCTTTGGCAAGACTCCTTGATGAGCAGATGTTGGCCCGGCGGATGGCCGTGGTCTTATGAACCTACACGAAGAGGACATGAGCAGTTTTTATCGAATGCCGATCGCCCAGCCAATGTCAGGCTGAAGCCTCCATGCGAGTTTCTGTCAACAGAATAAGCCTGTCCAGGAGCGATCTGCGGTTGCATTACTGCAGCCACTTTCCAGCACTGAAGGAGCTAGCAAGCACTTCAAAAACAGAGTTTGTGTGCAGCTTGGTTTTAGTGGTTAACCGGCCTTTTCTTGCCCGCACCTTCTTTTGCATGGTAGCGGAGCTGTGTCCCGGATCCTTGGGGCCAGCTGGAGGTGGGAGCGCTCTGCGCCCCCCTCGGCAGGAAGAAGCGCTCCGGCGCTCCCCTGCCTTAGGCCAGCCGTTAGGCAAAACGGCGGCCATGGACCGGGAAGAGCCACCAGAAGGGTGGCAAAGGAAACAGGAGCGGCCAGGAGGAAAAGAGGAAGGGTCGCCTTGCTGGTGGTGAGCCGGACCAACAGCCAAAGGCAAAGGCAAGAAAGAGGCCGAACAAAGGCCGAAGAAGAGGAGGAAGGTCGAACGAGGCCTTGCTGAAGAGATCCGAGCAGCCCAAGAAGAGGTATCGGCTGAGGATTACGCCAAGGGTGGAGGAGCTGAAGAGGCAGTGGTCTTCGCTTTCCGAGTGGCGGCCCAGCGCGGGCCCAGGGAGAGCGGTCTTTTGCCTCCTGGGTCCGTGGGCGAGCACATCCTGAAGCCTTTCCAGGATCCAAGAAGCAGACGAAGCAGAGGCCTCACGTCTTGCAGGCGGCCAGCAGGGCTGTCAAGCGGCAGCTTCGGGCCCTTAGGCTGAAGAAGGAGAAGAAGGAAAGGAAGAAAGAGACGAAGGAGAAGGCTGAAGAAGGAGAAGAAGGAAAAGGACACCGTCCCCTAGGCTACGGCGATGGAGGCGGGCCGGTGCAGCAGTCTGCTGAGCTGCTGCAGGCGCAGCAGGCGCAGCTGGGCCAGCAGGCTCAGCAGATACAGGCGCTGCAGGCGCAAAGCGCACCTCAATTGGCGCCGGCTTCGAGCTCCTCGCCTTTCTCCTTGCTGCCCCTGGTGGACACGTGTGGGCTTGGAGGACACGTGTGGGCTTGGAAAGCCCGACCTGTTCAAGGGGGACCCGGCGGAGAACCTTTAAGATTGCCTTTGAGGCAAGGTATCCCGAGGCAACGGAGGACTCCTTTATCTTCCCTTGGATGGTCCGCCGCGCGGGCTGGTTGGTGACACGGTACGGTGTCAAGCAGGACGGCCGGACAGCCTATCAAAGGCTGAGGGGTCGAACTTACAAGGGTAAAGTTGCTGAGTTCGGGGAGGTTGTCCTGTATAAGATCTCGAACCAGGGTCTTAGGAAGCTTGAGGATCGGTGGGCTTGCGGGGTTAGGGAAGACCCTGAGCAAGGACGAGCACTTGTTGCAACAGCCGACGGCATCCAGCGATGCCGGTCCATCCGCCGACAGGTCGAAAAGAAGCGATTCGTGAAGGAGCTCTTGGACAAGATGGTCGGGACTCCTTGGCAGCCTCGGGGTGTTCGCGAGAGGACGCACGGAAGGTTGCCCTGGCTGCGACGTCCCTTACGGAGAGGCGCCAGCCAAGCACAACGCCTAGTGCCGGGCAAGGTTCATGGAACTGGTGGCGAAGGAAACCGGCGGACAGGACGCCGAAGATGGAGGGGATGACCCGATGGAAGCCGGAAGGAAGCGCGCCTCAGAAGAGAGCAGCGGTGGAGCAGCCCAGCACCGCCTGCCACGGCGCTCCAGAGCTCGGCAGTTTCGACTGGGAGCGTGCACAGAAGCCTCAGGAGAAACCCCTTCCCGAGGACTTTGGGCAGGAAGCGTGAAGCCGAGGGACCTGCGCAGCAGGGAGACGATGAAGGTGAGATCATCGCGGGGCTTCCCACACTCCACGAGTGGCCCGTTGAAGGTGATCCCGGAGACGCGGTGCTTCTATGTGCTGTGTACGACGAGAGGACAGGAGAAGCCCTCAACGAGGAGCAAGTGAGGGAAGGAAGACCCAAGGAAATGAAGCAGATGGAGACCTTTGGTGTCAAGAACGGCATCAGCTATCAGGAGGCGAAGGCAAAAGGACTACGCCTGGTGAGGTCCCGATGGGTGGACACCGCCAAAGAGATCAACGGAAAGCCCGGCGTGAGGAGCCGGCTTGTGGCGCAGGAGGTGAACACCTACAAGCGGGAGGATGTGCCGATGGGCACTCCCCCTCTGAGGGTGCTTCGCGCCGTGATCTCTCACGCCGCGACCGCAAAGCCAGGACAAAGTGTGAGCAAGAAGCTTGTGGCAAGGTACGACGTGAGCGTGGCCTTCTTCCACACGGAGAACGGTGAAAGGATCGGTGTCGTTCCACCGGCATCCGAGGGCACCCCAGACACCATCTGGGAGCTGCGCAAGGCCATGAATGGAACGAGGGAGGCCTCAAGACAGTGGGGCGCGAAGATCCGGAAGGTGAAGACCGCCAACGGTTGCAGCGAGCTGTTGCTTTGTCCGAACACCTATTACCTTGCAGGTGGTGACGTGGCGCTGTCGTGCCACGGCGACGACTCCTTGGCGAGCGGAGAAGCAAGTGAGCTTAACAAGCTGGACGAGATCATGAAGCAGAACTACGAGGTGAAGGTTCTGCCGAGGATTGGGGACCCCAAGCATGGAGGGGAGACCGAATCTGGTCGGCACTTGGGCCGAGTGATCAAGTGGACGGGCTCTGGGTTCACATGGAAGCAGACCCAAAGTACTCGGAGCAGGTCGTGGAAAAGCTAAAACTCAAAGGATGCAGGGGTGTAGACACACCGTCCTCGAAGGCCACAGGAGCAGGGAACAGGCTTGTGGACCGAGAGCTTGAGAAGGAAAGGGCGGATGTGTTCCGCCGGGTGGCAGGCATCATCCTGTACATGTCGGTAGACCGACCCTCGCTCCAGTTCGCTGCAAGCGAGCTAGCCGAAGGGATGAGCCGGCCCCTCGAGATCCATTGGCTCAGGCTCAAGAGAGTCGGCAGGTACATCGCAACGTGCCCTGTTGAAAAGTGGCACTTTGAGCTGCAGAAGACCCCCAGCGTCCTTGAGTCCTTTAGTGATTCTGACTGGGCGACCGACAAGAAGAGCCGAAAGTCCATGTCGTCGACCTGTGTTTGAAGGGCTGGGCTTGGCTGTACGGAGGTGTTGGAACCAGGGGCCTAGGCCCCAGCACAGGGTTAGCCCGCGCAGCCATGGAGCCTGGCGAGTTTTCTTCGACTGCAGCCCTCAGTCTGGTGGAGCTGGGCAGAGCGGCAGCAGCGGACACTGGTGGCGGGAACTCAAAGCTGAGACGCCGCACTGGCAACGAGGAGAGAGTTTTAGAGGAGCGTGCCTCGGCACGCGGTACAGAGAGCAGTCCTGCCTACGAGGCGGGAGGCAAGGAGAGCCTTGCGTCTGGAAGTGAGAACGCAGGAAGACTTCGTGTGGTGATGGACACACTGTCCTTGCTGACGGTGGCAAAGCTGCAGACAGGAGCCAGGCTGGAAGGACTCCCGGTGACAGGGATCAAGAATGACCTAGTGGATCGTTTGGCACCCTGCTTCATGGATGGAGGCGAGGAGCAACCCACAACGAAGCAGCTCAGGTATGTCCTGTACATCCACGCAAGACGAGCCCAATGCAAGATCAAGTACGAGAACCTCAGGCGCAAGAGCATCGTGTCTGAGTGGATAGCCGGCTGGAAGGTTTGAGTGGATCTCAGCCTGAGGCTGAAGGCCAGCGACCCTCTAAGTGAGCTGGGCTGGCGAAGTGCCAAGCTGAACAGGGAAGGCAGTTGTTCAGGAAACCGGCCGATGTATCGGTCGCTAACCTCCCACTGTGGATGGGTGTCAACAGAATAAGCCTGTTCAGGAGCGATCTGTGGTTAAATTGCTCCAGCCCCTTTCCAGCACTGAAGGAGCTAGCGAGCACTTCAAAACAGTGTTTGTGTGCCGGTTGGTTTAAGTGGTTAACCGGCCTTTTCTTGCCCGCACCTGCTTTTGCAGTTTCTCAAAAATTGCTTGCCAAATCTTCGGTCTTAGGTGGTTCGCGCGGCTTATTTTCCGTCCCTGGCTTGTCAGTGCGCAAGGTCACGGACCATCCGAACATTTTGCGTTTGCTCGAGATCTTCGAGGATGTCCAGCCCCTTAGATTGTTTCACGAAAACGCGGGGTCTGGCTTCTGTCATCCCAAGGACAAGAACCTGTTCCTTGTGACGGAGCTCTGTGGTGCTGGGGATTTGTGGAGGCGCGAACAGTGGCACCGCAGCCTTGATCTTTCGGAAAAGGACGGTGGGGCACAGAAAAGAAAAGCATCGCCTATGTATAACTTTCAAGGGTTGAATCGAGCTTGCCAAATGTTGATCTCAATGAAGAACGGCCACAAAGTATGCCTAAAGAGAACCGGCGGATCGTCAATCCTCCACACTTCATGGCACATCCGAGGCCCTATTTCGGCTATGTATGAAAACCGACTCTTGCAACACTGATGGCTGCCAATGTGTCGTACCCTGCTGTTTGATTTGCCTCCTTCATACTTGGTTCTTCTGCAAGTTCTATATGACAGTATAGTGAGACCACGTATAACTGTGATGCCAAACAGATGCATGGTAGCACCGGTCTAGCATCAAGTAGATGGCATGCGGATTCCATTGAAGTTGACTCGGAGTGGTGCACATCCTTGCTCTCAGCGACTAAATTTCGAAATGGTTTTGTTTGAATTGCGCTCCATAGCCCGAAGATGGGCTTGCGACTCCGGCTCGCTGCGCTCTTTGGGCTGCATTGCAGGCTCCTGCAAGCCAATCAGGACGAGTTCAGTGCGCATGCCCCGAGTGGCGCAGTGTCGTGAGCTGGGAAAATGTCTTCAACATTCTGCAACCATGCTAAGCAATATCGAGGCATCTATGATCTCGGAAGAAGAAGCGTTTGAGCTGCTTGGCCAGACTGGAAAGAGGTCTGTGAGAAGGCTCTCCCGACTTGTTGTCTGAGGATTCTCAAACAAGTGCTCAACAGCGTGGCCGTGAGCACAGACTTTCTTCTCTTGGATGTGGCAAAGCACAGCAGATCAGAACGACCCAGGGCTACTTGCATTCGCGTGGCATCGTTCACCGAGACCTGAAGCCAGGCTCTCTACAAACTTCGTTCCACGTCTCCTCTCTGTCTCCTCTCAATGTCTCTTGTTAAATGACGGAGGCAGAAAGACAATGCACTTGGCATGTGAATAAACGCATACCGACAGTCTGCGGAGGCAAACAAACGGGCATACACAATCGTACATGCAAGCATGTACCTTCACACTTGTATCAGTGCCGGACACCAATCAGCAAGAGATAAGATCGTATTCCAAGGCTGCAGACCCGAGACCATCATTTCGAAGTCAAGAACCTCAGGGTATGCCAGAGTGTAGGGTTTAGGGTCAACGGTCAACAGGTCATGGTTTGGGAGTTAAACAAAGTCTTGGTGGCGTTGCGGATGTGACAAGATGATATGCGAGAGGCGGTGCCCGGAGACACAATGCACTACCTTTCCACGAAAAATGCACGAATCTCGTGAAACGTGAGTGGTGCTGTGGCGAGAGCGAAATTTGAAGTGGATCAACGGCCGAGAGGTTGAAGAGTGCGGCCTTGCTACAACTTCAGGGCCTCGAGCGTTTCGCGTCCCAAAGATTGCACGGAGCTGTGGCGTCAGCGTCGAGAGCACAAAGACGGCCTCCTGCGAGCCGCACCGAGCACGATTCTTCAGCAAGTTGGCGTTCAATCGACTCTGCTTGGTAATAGTAAGCCACGCCGTCATCCACGTCACTCCTAACAGTTCCCGCAGAGTCTGGGCAAAAGTAGTGTACAAAAAGGCTGCTCCCCGCAACATCCTCGCTGTATCGTTGGTTGATAGGGCTCGGGGATGCACCAAGCACTGTAGTGCAGCACAACACAACATCTCGAAACCTGAAACTCAACATCACTGTAATGCCCCTTCCAAAAACTCCACGATTCTGGTGTCTCTAGCTGGGTGGGAAAAGAAAAACATAAACAAAAAACGACTACTTTGGGACTTGGATTTTTGGAGCAATGCGGCGTTTGCTGTTGGAGGTGGCAAGCGAACGCACGGTAGCTTGTTCTTCGTGGACAATCACATATGTCAAAGATTCAGTGTAACTACTACTTACATGAAAATATCTGTCTTGTATTTGGGTTACGCTTATTGGGACACTCGTTTGCTAGTTGTGTGGTCTTAGTCTAGGAAATGTGTATCGAAACCTACACGCATATTGAACGCCTAGCATGACATAATTTCGTAGTATTCTCGTAGCACTTAGCCATGAAGACCGGGGTTACACTCTGTAGGTAGTACTTGTGAAACATTCTCTTGATGCCTAGTTGATGTTCGATACGGTATTGGGTTATGTGACGTTCAGATGCGTGAGGCATATGACCTGTTGCAAGGTATATGGCATGATATGTGATGTGGTCGTTTATGGACACAATGGACAGTTCTCGATTTGTTGCTATCTCCTTCCAAATGAGCTGAACGATGGCCAGTCAGCCCGACAACGGACTTGCCTGCTATGTCTTCATGCAATGAATATCTATGTAACTGGAATTGCTGCAATGGTAAATATTCACGCGTTCATCGCCATCGGTTAAATTGAACAGTTCGGCACATGCTGCACATGCTCATGAAATAGTCGAACTCGTGAAACATCCCAACTGAGAATTACGTGAATATAGACTGGCTAACAATCAGACATGGCCTGAAACACTTTTTTCGGAATGCAGTTAAGCCCTTTTTAGGTATACAATAGAAGTCGAGAAATGCATCACACCAATTCACTACGAACTGAATGTGATGCAAATTTCACTACCGATGGGTTGGACAGTAAGATTCTGTTGAATAACACTACTTGAATGCTGAGCCTGACCAAGCCATACAACTGGATTCAGCAGGAATCTACACGAGAGCATCTCTGTGCTAAAGGCTAAGCCCTAAACCCGAAACAGCTCTGCCAAACCCGCCGGCGCTACAATTTTGGAGGAAGTCGGGTGAGGGAAGTGCGGGATTGATGGAGTGTTCAGGGCATGCTGAGTGTATATGGATATGACACGGATATTGTTGATCTGCCAATGGATCAAGCTTTAGATTGGTTGCAAACCCTTGACCTATTCAACAACTATTGGTCACACAGTCCCCCTTTGTGTTTTTGCCTGTGTCGGATTTGTGATATGTATGGGTGGGATAGATCGTCCAGCTGTACATTCCGCTCGCCGACCAGGCAATTTTCTTTGCTGTGCTCCGGATTCTGATGCTGTAGACCAGCCGGGGCCTTGAAGATGGAAGTATATTTTCAAGGGTCGCCAAGAAATGGAAGGAAGAACTTGGCTGGGAAGATTCGCATCATCAAGCTCGCCGACTTCGGGGTCTCCTCCTGCTGCCATGTGAAGTCCTTCGCTGAGCATCAAAATTGCCATTGCACGCTGCCCCTACGGCCCGAGCCCGAGGCACCGTCTGACACGCAAGTGTGGCACCGACGGCTTCATGGCTCCAGAGATTCTCCGACATCAGCCGTACGATGAGAAGGAACTCCTGACCTTTCTGCGCTGTGGAAATCTCAGAATGCACAGATGTGTGAATTCTGCTGCCTGCTGAGGCGGACATCTTCTCCGTGGGCTGCATCTTGTTTCTAAGCTACATAATCCTTGTTGCCCCCTATGCTTCTATGCTTGATGGCGCAAGTGGAGGCACTGGCTGCTCACTGGTCATCCTCCCAAAGCGCGAGAGGCCGCCTTTTGACTAAGTGTCGATCGCCAGATGTGTTGGTCTCATCCGAGCAGGATGGGAGCTATGTCATGAGCAAGATCCGCCTGAACTTCGTCTCCGACGAGGTTTCTGGGATGCGAATCGTGCCAGATTGGGTATTCCGCACAGCGCCCGAGGCGAGGGCGCTGCTAGAGCTGCTCACGAGGTGCTTGGGTATTGCTGAGTGTCTTGAATCCCTTTGTTGAGCGGCACGCTACCAGGCCCGAGCCGCAGGATAGGCCTTCTGCAGAAGAGGTGCGGCGCCGTCTCTCGTGTGGCCCAAGACTGGGACCACAACCTCGGATGCGGTTCCCGTCACACAGCGCAAGGTGCTACGGTCTCCCGTTCTTCAGGGCTCTGCACGGCGCTTGCGAGCGCGCTCCGCGCGTCTGGACGCTCAGCTCTTGGACCAGATGCAGCGGCCTCAGATTTCCAGGCCCAGTTTGAAGATTTCGATTGACGAATGGATCCTCCCTTGCATTGCTCGAGCTCGCACACGCGGACCAGATGTTTCTGACCCGAGTTGTAGCCGCTCTCGGTGCCTGCGCAAAGGTATTCCTACGGGTCCTTCCCCTTGCTGAAGAAGGCACGCTGCTTGGAGTCGGGGAGAAAAGGTAGCACTATGGGACGATTTCATGCAGTTTGCGTCAGGCCGCCATCGTTGCCATGGCTACGTGCTCAAGCCTTGTCAGGGCCTTGCGATCGTGTGCGCATGCGGGCAAGGTCACGCGGGCAGAGTCTGATGCAGACTTTGCCCCGAGCATCGAGCGCTTCATGCCCGGTCCTCAAACCACAGAACTTCACGCCGAGGGCGTGCCATTGTCTTTCACTGTACATCACAGGTCTCTGGACAGGAACTTGACAAGTGGTATCGACACCGCACGAGCCTAAGACGGGACCTCTAGACTCTAGTTTGCAACGGTAAGTACGCAACCCGTTTCCCTTCGTTTTAGGCTCTCGTGTCTTTACATTGAAGTTCTTACTCCGTTTGCTCGGTCCGCATCTTTGCAGCATCAATCGAGATAGGAACTGTAAATCCTAGAGACCCAACCCGGAGACCCAAAAGCCTCAAGCCCGACAATACTTTTTGCACTTGGGCCAATTCCAACAGCAACCCTCACAGGCTCCAAAGACCATCCCATGAGGCCAAACATGCAGACTGCACTGTGGTGGGAGCATGATTGGTACTTCAAAACCCACACCACTGCCTCTAACCCTTACAATTTTGGCTAGTCTTTGAGACTTAAGTACTTGAGTCTTCTCTTTTCGGTAGCTATTATCTGCAGTTTAGATTTGTCTGTGCTGAGATACGTCAGCAGCAGTGAGCCGAGGGTTCAGGCATCCATCATGTCCGGCCATGTGTATCAACGGGCAACAGTTGGAAGGGCCAAAAACAGCACGGCAAGTTCTGTCTTTGGAACTTGGTCCTTTCCTTCCTGGAACCTGAGTTCGGTTTTCATTGCACTCAACATCCTAAACTGTCAACTCCGAATGAAAACCCTTCCCTCTCGTTGGATTGTGTCATGTTTCGGGGTGGATGGGTGGGTGGGGGGCCATTGGGGGGCCACATCTCCCATGCTGCCTATGCCAGGAAGACATCTATGGGGCGCTGAGTGAAGAGATGCCTTCCGGCTAAGCAACGTGCGGTGACTGCTGTGCCAATGCAGTGAAGTTGAGAGGCTGGATGACATGCGGAAGTTGGTGCGCAAGTCCACGGCAGGGGCCGTCGGCCTAGATCGGCGAAGTTTGTGCCAGCGACAGTTAAAGAACGCTTCGTTGCAGGAAGCGAGAAGTCGGAGGGGCAGATCTCGCGCAAGGCGCGACTCGCGGCACAAAGCCTTCACTGAGTCCCTCTGAGCCGAGAGCCGACTGCTCTCCGTGTTCGTCGGTCGCGAGGCGGCCGAACGTGACGCTTCCAGCCTCCAGGCACCGCACGGTCCGCGTTTCAGCAGTCGCGCGTCGGAAGCTTGGGCAGGCCGAGGCCGCTGCTGGAATGCACAATGAAGAAGTTCCAGATGGTGGCCCCGATGCAGAGCCTCTGAGAGAGCATCGAAAAGCTTTCTGCAGGAGCTTCGAGAGGATGTTGCCCGCCTCGTCAACAAGGATCGCGCAGATGCTGTTCGTGCCATTATAGGTGATTGTTGGTGATCGCATGAGACTAGGAAGCGCGGCAGCAGTTCTTAGACAATGATGATTCGATGAGTGCTTCTTCGTCGTGGATTGCAAGTGCCAATGCTGCCCCGATCAGGTTGATGCGACCGGCACTGGGTGCTGATGCTTAGCCCGGGGCAGTTTACAGGACGGTTGAATCTGTGTTGATAGACTCTCGATATTCCAGTGACCGCCGACCGCCAAGGCACATTAGCTATTCCGAATGGCTCGCAGCAACAGCAGACCCCGCGACTTCACGCGGATTAACCGGCCTGAGTTCTCACAGAGAAATTACCACCTCGTTTTCTCAGGCCTGGTACACGGACCCTCTTCACATCAGCGCTGCATTCAGGATGGGAGCTGAGCCTCTCTCGAGATCCAGCTGCATTATATAGCTGCGTTCAGTTGCATCAAGGCTCTTCGACTTTGACGGTGACGGCATGATCAGCGAGGAGGATCTCAAGTGTGTGATTCCCGATGTCACTCGGACGATTGACTCGAGTGATCTCGCGTGATCATTGCATGTCAAGCATGCCTTAAGAGAAGTGTCGGCCCGAGGTTTTCGAAAAATTGACAGTCAAGGCTGTCCTGCAAGAGTCCCAGCTGAGTGCAAAGCAGACCTCCTGGATCAACGAGGCCACGTCGCTGATAGCCTTGCTTAGACTCTGCAAGCTGCGTCACACTACGCTGCTTCCACTGCACCGTTGCTTGGAGAAGGAGTGCTTTTCACTGCTCATTCGCACCCAGACGCCTGAATGCACTTGGGGTTCCCGACTTTTGCCGTGATGCGGTGCAAACGGCAGCACTGAACTTCGCTGCATCCATGGTCCATAGCCAAGGAATGCATCGGTGTTTACATTGCAACGTATCTGTGACGGACTGGAAGATCCCGTCGCCGCGGCTGATGCTGCAAGCGCCTCTTGATCCTAGGTTTTTCTCTGAGAGGCTCGGGCAGGTCAGGAGTTCCAACGTGAACAGCCGAAAGCCCGAGAGGGTGCTCCTTGAAGTGTTCGTGGCTTTCAAGCTGGCTTCTTGCATTTTAAAGCTGTTTGGGCGCAAGAAACTGTTTCAACATCTTCTGCAACGGACATCCGAATGCCCCTGCACAGACAAAAACCACCAGAGGGGGCATGCAAAACAGACTTGTCTCCGGTCTGCTCGCAATGTGCCGGGGTGCATGGCGCTTGCGTGTCCTAGCTGACTGGCTCAAGGCTCGAAGCGATGCTTTGGCCTTGGCCCACGTAGCAGTACAATGCAGTCTCTCTGCCTGC